GGTTTAGGGTTTAGGTTTTAGGCTCAAGGCTAGGGCACTTTAGGTCTAGGGTTTAGGGTTCCTAGCAGGTTTCGGGCTTAGGAATCTTGTGAGGTTTATGGCCTCGGGATTCCAAATAAAAGCGCTTGAGGAGTAAAATCTAGGGTTCCGAAAATTTCGTAGGGTTTAGGGTTTCGGTGTTATGGTTTAGGGTTCCGGGTTCCTATATAGGGTTTAGGGTTAAGGTTTCCTGTCAAGGGCTTCCTTTGAGGGAACCGTAATGGTCTACAAGGGCTAGAAACTTAAGCTATAGTTATGTACCGAGTCTTACAGCCTAAACCAAAGCTCACAACGCAATGTCACTGACAGTCCCAAAGGACGGCAGAACCCGCTGAAGTATCGATTAGTTTCAATCTGTGACTATACATTCTGGTGTTGGACACTCGGTTCCGGGCGGTCGTACCCGGAACCTCACTCAGCAGCAGCAGCAGCGGCAGTAGCAGAGGCACCACCACCACCGCCGTTACCACAACCACGGCCCCCAACGAGAACAGCTTGTCTCCGTCTTCATCATCCTCGCCGTGAGTGTGTTCATCATCGTCGGAAGCTTTCTTTCCGAAACGTCCTAAACCGAAAACCCTGCAAGAGACCGCGAGCCAGGTGAGATGCCACGCTTTTCTCAGCCAAAGCAGATGCTGAGATCGGCCTTGAAACAGCACTGAAGTCGGCCAATTTCCATTTCCCGGCTTTGCAGAAAGGGTATAGGGTTTAGGGCCCGAGGCTTCGAGTGTTTAGCCTAGGGCTAGCTGAAGCACCCCCAAAGCCGCTGCCTCCAAGACACAGAATACGCCGGCACATGTAACTCACCAGAACCGATGTCTTCGAGTGCTTACGCGGTGTTGTATTTAGACTGCATCAGATGATAATTTTTTCAGTTTGATTGTAAAAATCCCAAAGCCGAATATTCCACACTGACACCCAAACTGTTCAAACAGTCATGTCCCAAAACATTGACCCGAAATCCCCCAAGCCCGAACTCCTGCAGTCGTAATCTCTTGGTCTACAATGTACAAGCCAGACCCTCGACGCCGGAACCTTAAGCCTTCATCTAATGATCAGAAGGCCTAAGGAACAAGATTGGTGAGTTTTCCGGCTTCTAGAAGATTGGTCAAAGCTCTGAGGAGAGGGGGGCTCTTAGAGATGTTTGTACGTTTTGGGGGAGCGGTGGGGGCGGGGTTCGTCCGCGGAGGATCCTCTTCAGTGGGGCTCTGTATTGGATTTATAGGGTTTAGGGTTTAGGGTTCCTTGATATCTGGATGTAGCAGGCAGTAAAGTCTCCGACGATTCGGTTGGAATGCGATGAAGGGTATTGTGAGTTTAGGGCTTAGGCTTTGCCAGGCTGATGGTCTTAAACGAAATAGCCGACCTTATGTGCTGTTCTTCCTATACAGCAGGCATGTGCCTGCCAAGTTCCTGAAGGACCAAAGAACCCTCCGACGTAGGATCCGGGCAGATCGCATTATCCTGGACACCACATGTGAACCTCAAGCTCCATGCCAGACGCAAGCTGGGTTTTAGGGTTTAGGGCTGTGTGCAACCCTTACCAGTATCTTCTTCTTAAACCTGCACTTGTAAGGTCATGCGTAGCTACAAGTATTTCTCTAAGTTGCAAGCGTGGTAAATATGGGTGCTGCTGCAACTACCTGCAGCCTGAAAGGCTTAGGCCTTGAAGGGGTTCTTATTTTAATACAGGTACTTCCGGGTCAATGTATAAGTTATATGACTATATGTGCACATGGACCGTGAGAGCTTGGCACCACTTCTAATCACCCATGTGCCTCCATTCTTTTGGGGGGGGAGGGTCCTGAAAACAACTTCGAGGAAGTTCCAAGCGAGCCACAGCAAAGTGCTTCGCCCCAGAGGCCTAGAAGCCCGGCGACCTATGCAGTTGCTGTCTTTGGGAGCTGCATACCAGCCCATATGCCAGGTTATACCCAGATCTTCCAATATTCCTTACTTCAGGAAGAACATACAGGAAGTCATATTCGGGATCCTACTGCCGCTTTTAAGGCAGATTCCCTAATTAACGGACATTGGAAGATCCGGGCAGTATAGCCTTCATCAGCCATAGACCCTAAACCCCCTAGACCCTAAACCCTAAACACCATGCCGACTATGCCTGTACCCTGAACCCTAACTAGACCCTGGCCAAAGTGCATAGGTGACTGGGAATCTGGGGTCGCACGGACGGCAAGTCATTGGTGGAAGCGCGATGCGCCCGAGTGCTAGACTAGTAGAACCCGAACTGCCTCAAATGCGGAGAACCGAGCCTCTAGGCAGAACTTACTATCTGTTGTGAAAAAGTATTCAGGTCCCTAGTCTCTACCACCACAACGCATGAAAGGCTAAGCAGAGCTTTGTGTGCTGCTGGTCTTTGGAAAAGCAGGGTTTTACACCCTAGATCTTCAACCCAAAACCCTAAATTTAGGGTTTAGGGTTTCGGGTCTAGGGTCTAAACCCCTAAACTCTAAGCCCCTAAACCTTACACCGTAAGATTGAAGCTCTCAGTCCTCAACCTTAAGCGGTTCCCAACCTTTGGCGGGGAGCAACAGCCCCCTGATATAGGGGCCTGAATAGTTACGAAACGTATGGAATATTATCGTCTAACATTACTCTTTAAGGGCTCCTCAATGGATTTTCTTTATAACATACCCTAGAACCGTCTAGCTGCACTCAAATCAATTGGGCCCACTATATGACCCGCTTCGTCCTTACCGTGCTCCAAGAGTTATAAGTACCCTAAATGGAG